ACTCAATGGTGCGCTACAACAGGGCAGAAGGTGTTAGTTTGGACAAGTTGTCCAGACGAAAAATAAACAAAAAAACAAGCGCTAAACTGTATAATAGCTGTGAAAAAAGGAAAGAAATAAAGGAATCGCGCTTCCAGCATCTCAGGCCTGCCGTACACAAAAAGACGTCCCAGGAAGATCAGTACACGACTAATAACTGCCCTCTGTGTGTCAGGGACTCAAGTAGGTAGTGACTACCTACAGATAGATGTTTGACTTAATACTGAATGCCGGCCACAGAAGTGCAGTTCAGTCTGGGCAACGCAGCCAACCGAAGTTGTTCCCGGGCGGGCCAAAGTGGCTGCCTCTAAACACGAACCCAGGGCGTAAGACCCAGACCTTAGTATTGCTTGAAGCATACCTGTAGACTCGCACTTGCGAAGAGTTTTTTAAGGGACTTAATCCAAAACATACTCGCCCCTCACTTTGCGAAATAGATGGCAGTACATAGTAGTTTGGCTGACCAAATGAGCAGTACTGATAAGGAAAGTACAATGAAGCGTAAAGGTTGGGAAGGTAGAGCATGCTATGTGATAAGCCGTATAGTACCTATTTTTGTGCGACGGCCCTGTTAGTGACATTCACCGCAGTTCGCTAATAAAAGGTATCGAAGGACGACGATTATCCACTGGTTCCTCACAGTAGAACTGCAACTCACTACTCTCGAGAGCATCAATATAATATCCATCCCCAGTCCGGTATATTGTGCGGCCGCAACAAGCCACTGAGAAAGAAAAATCGACAAACGCATTATCAACATTCCTAAAAACTTGGTTATCAGTAGTCTAATCTCAACATTTCCAGCAGACTGAGTTCGTTCTATTCTCTGGATATTACTAGAAGCTCACATGGAATATGACTGAGCCATCTTATCGAACGAAAGAAAAAGTTGAATAGTAGAGCATAGTTTTGAGACATGATCCTTGCATGATGTACCTTGAAGCTACTTGACCTACCACTGCTGGGTCGAAACATCCAGTACTTAATTGGTCTCAGCACAGCACCAGTTTTCGAAATTCTATTTGAAATAACGAAGTTGAGTCATTCTCGATTCGCCTCAGAATCAAGGGTTTCAGATGTAGCAATCTTAAGCGTTCCCTATAACTGTATGTCAATGTCAAGAAATACTTTATTCCACGTGATAACAATAGGAACGCCAAAGCCGATTACGCTGTCAACATCGCCACAATACAAAGATAAACCTGGGGCAAGTTTCTTCGTCTGCTTTCGCCAGCGAACATGGTCCTCGAGAAAGTAAGTATCCCAGTCAATACTCGAGATGGCTGTGGCCTCGGTGCCGCCTTCGGGTGCAAATTGTATTTCTTTCATGATCAGTTTTTATAATCACATGCTTTTCTAGGGCGCAGAGATCAACAAATAAAACAAGCAGCGACGATGAATCTTTGATCCTCACTATCACTTTTAGTTGGAACAATAGACAATTGATCTTCATAATAACAGAAATTGACGCCGCAGCACTGATGAATGGTGGGTGATACACAGTACGTAGCTTTACGATACCCCTTCCAACACCTCATTTCGAGTCGAGCTTTCTTATTCCCATTCTTATGAAATGAAGGCGTTAGCAACTACTATCTCGCCCGAATACAGTTTAATCCCGTTTTCAGCCTAATAGTTCTGAAGGTTGACCTCTTGACGATGAAGAGGTTCTTAAGATGGCTGAAATGTAAACGTTAGAGTAGCCACAATGTTATTCTAAAAATAGCTCTAAAAGTTTATTGCTCCTTCTAAGAGTATTCTACTTCCAGTATGAAGAATCGTTTGAAAACTTCCCCTATTACAATGGGGGAGAGAAAAGCAAGCCGATTCGGCTGAAGACAGCAAGCTTCCGTTTTTTTTTTTCTAAGCCCGGTCAATAGGATGAGTTTGCCTCCAATGTTGCAAGTGTTTCAGAGTAATCAAGTTGGACACTAACAGTCTCTCCCTTGACGATTACTGCTGAACTAATTTCCTTTACATTTTCACTGCTTTGAGCTCGGTGTACTTAGAAAGACGTGAAATCATCTGAGTACGTGATGAATATTTATTTCAAAGGCACAATAATGAAGCACCGAGGAAACTGTAGTGAAACGTTAAAGTGACAAGCCAAAGGTCATTAAAATCACAACCGCGAGAGTGAGGAATAGAGGCAAAGACAAAATACGAGTGAGCTGTATGCTATTGAGGTTCCTTATCCATACAATGGTCGATATGAGGCTTCGAATACACGTATATCCAAATGATGAGCAGTGTGGCAAGAGAAATTGGAATTGCAACAATACCTGTAATTTCTCTGCTTACGTCTAACAGCTAAATATCTTTTCTAGTTGTTCTATCGTTATCATTTTCCCATAGCACTTCTAGAGCTAACATGCTGAATTAATAGAATAGATAGGATATTATCAAGACATCACATACCTGCGCTTACAAGCCCAGTTTGAAGCGTCAAAACTGTGGCGGCAACAGTTCCTGAAAGTAGTAGGTCTTCGGAAATCGCTCAGTTAGGACTAATCGGGATCAGAAGTCGAAGAACAGAAGAATAGTCGTTAGCTTTCACATGATAGCTGTACTGAAACTTCCGAATTAGGTGTCAGGAGGAGAGTCGACAGCTCTCTCCACGCATACAAAGGCCTTTCGAAAGACCCCTTCAGTATTAGTTCTCGAATTCACTGACAGAGTTATTGCCCCCTAGCAAAGATTACTTTAGCGTGTGTTTTGCAGGAAGAGAGACGAGAATAATATCGTTGGAATTCGTTTGTTCTAGAAGACCATTTCTATGCTTTATTCCGCTGAACGTTATCGATAGAACCACCCCCTCCCACTAGATTGGCTTTCTTGGTGTCTGTGTGGAATCGGAGAAATCGAAAAAGTGACCAACGACTGCTGGCCAACTAAGTGCGTGTATCGTAACTCGCATATCGTTCTTTCACTAGTGCTACGGTTGGGCCACAGGATATAGAATCTACCTCAATTCGAAATGATTGAATTAAAGATGGACGTCGTTCATACTTCAATACAATTCTTCCTCTAATCGATATAATTTTCCCAAGAATCACAGTTCCAACAGGAACATGACTTAGTGTTCAATCTTCTATAAACCAAACCAACTGAGAAACTGACCAGAAGCGGCGGCTCCCAAACCGACACCAAGCAAGGCGCTGTCACCGCAAGCCGTCAATGCGGAAGCACATCCGGTCACTTTCTTCGCAGCATTGAGCCGTTTATACCGTTCCAATTCGGCCTAAACATTCTGAGAAATTTCCTCCCTCCGAATATTCCACACAGAATTCACTCACATTGATGTCTTCTTGAAGTTTTTCCAAGAGGCGGTTTCTGGTCTCAGCTGAGCCAAATTTCGGGCATTTGTCATAGATGTTCAGTGCAGTGATGCCGTGCTTGATGTGGGCTTCGAGCAATCGCTTCTCGGGCATCATTCGTGAACCCACTGTTGACTGAAATCAGGATAATATGCAAATATGATATAAAATAAGTCAGGCCTAAGAAGCTCGTGGAATGCAGGCTATCTCAATACTAATCTGAAATATTTATTCTTCCTAAGACTAAAGACATATTTTGTAGCTCCGAGTCGAGTTCGCCGCGTATATTATCAGGATGGCCACATGCAAAAGCAATGACACACTCGATAAGGTGATGTCCCTCTGCGACGGTCTGAAGTGCTGCCAAATAAAGCAGTTCCACTGTGTGCGAAGCTATGAGGAACACACCATATCCGCTTTTACAGATCGAACCCCTCCTGAATTTGCGTAGAAAAACAGCAACAATGGTTGGAAGTAAGTGCTGTCGTAAAACCGAGCATAGCTTTTCGGGGACTAATCGGGATCAGAAGTCTAGGAACTCTATGTGTTCCGGAAAACATGTCTGGCGAAGAAGGAGAAGAATACACCATATCTGAAGAAGAAGCGCTGTAAACGTTGCTCGCAATCTGAAGAGGAACCAGTACATTCATCCGAAATAATGTTGCTGGTCACGCTGATCATTGGTGGACCTAAACATGGGAAAGAGAGCCGGAGTTGAACAAGCTTTTCTTGAGGAATGGGTTCGCTTAAGTATCGAGGGCCTCTTGTGTTTCAATCACTGATATTCATTCCAATAGCCTAGGCGAATGCTAGTCTCATATCAGTTCGTTTGCTGTATTTCTTCCTTACATATAGCACACAATCGATGTTATGGAGTGGACTATGAGTAGTGCGCTTTCGAACCTATCACAAATATTCGGGGTATAATTGTCTGGAGGCTCATGATAACTGTGGACAGATAATGTGATAAAGCAATCCCTAGATATTTAGAGCAAAAATGCCACAAAATTCGCAAGTTTTTGGGACTTTATAAGAAAAAAGTGTGCATCTTCCTTTCTTTACAGTAACACATCGTGTTAGTCTCCCCCGACGTAGATGCTAAACATTTCGACGACATTCGTAGCTATCGCCCAATATGCCTTTTGTCTGTAACCTACGAAGTTTTCACAAGTGTCGTTCTTGATAGGATTGGCAGAATACTATGAATGGAGGTTGATTCTCGGAAATTTACTACACACGCGAGTGCCGAAGAGAATACGAAATTCCAAGCTCTGACGAGGATCACGAGGCTGTTGCTTACGCCAAGGAATCGAATACCAGGTGGGTCGGACACGCCATGATGATGGCAGTTGGACCAAGGCAGTTACTGGACGTCAAACGAACACCAGAACCGTCAATAGCGGGATGGTCAGGCTTTTTCAAGAAGGAAGGCTTCGCCTCGTGCCCTCCACGGAAGGTGATCTTTTTCCTGTATTTTATAGTGGGTGCTGCAAACAGGGTCACCGATCAGACGTTGCTCGTGATATGGGCCTTATGTTCGTGGATATCCGCTTCTAGCGTGCTGCGATTCTTGGCTACATAGCTAGTCTTACTGCGCGGCATAGCGATCGATTATCACCCTGCCATTATCATTATCAGTGTAGTTCAACATCCCCTAGTTAGCCCGTTGCTACCCACGTCTTCATCACAAAAAAAAATCCGTCAACTCCTTCATTAGCAGACCTCTGAAGAGACTATGCGAAATTATGTAAGAAAGAAGAGCCGAAACAACTAACTCGATCCATTCCTCGGCAGTAGGCAACTTTGGCTTCGTGAGCTGCTTCTATACAGATCAGTTTTGCATTTGCATTCAAAATACTATTTGCCACAGGTACAGTATTACCGTCGAACGAGTTCACATATTCCTGAAATAAGTGTTACTTGCACCTTATCAGGTATTTGGACTAAATGTCCACCTTGAAGTATTGCACGAGTTTCCGACAGGTGACCGGTTTTCCGTTGATATACTTTGGTTGAAGAGCATGAGGATTCAGTAAAGCGGGGACCATCTTTTTCATCTCCTCACGGAAAATCGGCCGGAGATCTGGAAGGAAGGAGTGATAAGGCATGAATCTGTGCAGATGAAACAACTCTTTCGCATTATGATTACCTTTCACATGACCTCTGAAGGATTGCCGCTCGGCTACGCGGTAACCGGGATAAGGAAGTAGGAAGCATGAGATGTGGTCAAAACAATCGGACAGCTGCTCCCGAACACTCCGAAGCTCCTCTGGTTGATCGGGGGTGACCTGAAAAGACAGAACCACTCCACTCATTGGTCAATCGACTAGACCGATTTTTTCAGAAAGCGCCATACAAAGCAATGGCCAAATTCTATTTGAATATCCTGAAATGACTTCTAGTCACTTTTTTCTTATCATTTCATCGTCCGTAAAAACCTCGACCTTGAGACCATTTCACCCAGTACTGCCACCACCCTGCGAGGCTGACTTTGAAATGAAGGAGGGAAGGGATTGCATTGTAAGACCAAGAAGCCAAATAACTTATTAGCATGAATCCAAAAGAATTATGGCGTTAAGAAAGGAACGCTCTCAAAACGTAGAAGACATCTGTGACCTGTCCATTGGACATCCCAGGGACGGAACCATTTACTGATCCGAATGGTTTGATGCTACCAACCTTAAGAACTTGCTGCAAGAACTTGCTACCGCCCTCCTCACCATAGCCATATTCTTCTGGATTCCGAAAATCCCTGACGCAAAAGACGAGCGTCTGAAAAAGTTATTGACACAGAAGGCAACGCTTCTTCACGACGCTTCAAAAATCACCTGAAATGGTTTGCCGAAACGTTGAGCTTCCGTCATGGCCAGACGACCGTACTCTACAAACAAGGAAAGATGCTGCAAGGCGTCTTCCTGTATGTTATCGACCACGTTGTAAATCTGAATGAATAGCACTCGTTCCACTCAATCCATTTAGCAAACAACGAATAAATCAAACCCGAGAAATTGAGAATCTTCATCACCTGCACACAACTGACTATGGTGGACAAGGCAAAAATAGTTAGGCATTGCTGGTAGGTGGACGTATTGTCGAACGTTCCTTGAGTGTCCATCTAAAGAGGGTGAGTAAGTGGGCTAATCGTCTTGAATAGGTTGGTAGAGACAAATATGTAAGGCACTGAACCAGAAGCACGGCGTACATCTCTCCAGAAGCTGCTTCAATCATGATCGGCTCGCCCCACACCCAAACACCGACCGTATCTCGCTTTGCTCCTGCCCGCCAGTGGAATCCGTGCAATTGGCAGTCGTCTGTCAACCATTCCAAGGGAGCGTCACTCTGAAAGTTTCCCATTAAGACAGTATTCACACTACTAGACACCAGTTCTAAGGCTTGAGCTAGGTGGCTTTTATATTTTTCCAAATGACTGCTCAAAATACAAAGGTAAAAGGTCAAAAAAGGCACTTAACAAAGTTTTCGAACGCTTATCAATCCCGTCTGAAAGAAGTGCCCCGCATTTGTAATTTTATTCAGAATCGTAGAGGGGTGATGAATGCGTGTGAATGAATTGTGGTAGTTAGCCCATGTTAGTGCTTTTGTCCTCCTAGACGAGTCTGGAAGCAATTAATCGACCTCAGAGGGAGAACGACTCGGTTGGCTTGGGCCGGTCCATTTACAAGGAAGGATAGGATAAGGGAGAAGAGCAACAGATCAATCCGACTTGATAAAGTGTAAGAAAACTGGCCAAAATCACAACGTGGTAAACTTGTGGCCAGAAGGTTCGAATGTAAAGCAGATCGAATAATTAGTTATTGCATAAGACAAATAGAGTGACTTGTTTTTTTGCCTGTCCTTCCTTTTGTCCCTCCAAATATAAGTCTCCCAAAGTTTGGCATTACGTGATAAAGCAACTGAAGAGCGGTGGTCACATAGCAAAGAAGGGAAATCGGTTTCGATGAACACGCGAACGAAGCGGAGTTCCCTTATTGGTGGAAAATAAATTCGCACAAGGAAACGTGTATTTCATATGTTGGAAATCAGGAATAATTTGAAACACGGTTTTGTTCCAACTTTAGAAGTCTTGACTTAGGCTGGAGTGCGAAACGATATTCCCTGTATGTATTTCTTCCTCTCTGAGGTGAGAGCAAGGGTGGTCTCGGTAGTGCAAGGGATAGAGCACGGTGCCCGGAAAGCCCAAGTACGAGTACGAGTCCCGTACGAAACTGAAGTTTTGTCTATAAATCGCCCACCTTGTGAGACTTTCCCTCTAATCTTATGTTGAATCAGAAACCTAGTGGGTGTCTCTTGATATAGACTAACCAGAAAGTGTACACTAATGTCACGGAAATGAGCAATCAGTTTCCATCCTGATGGCAGAAAGAGAAAACTATGATGCAAGTGAGGCACATGAGATGGTAGTGTCGTAGTGGAGTGGAGAAGGTCGGCATAACTGATGGAATCAAGGAGCTTCATAATTTGATCGAGCATGGAGAAGAGGGAAAAAGTCATTAAAGGCATCGCAAAGTAACGAAGACCGATAATAGTCCACAATGTGCGACACGAAAATACTGAAGAGGGAATGAAATTCCATAAAATACTTTGATAAAAAAATACTGCTTTGTAGAAAAACGATTGCAAACGAAGTATTTAACGCAAACTTTTGCAGTGAGAAAGAGGTATGGGTGAGCATGAATACCGAGGTGATATCTAAACCCGAATCTGCCGCCTGCAGTTCTCATACCTGTGTGGAAATGGCACGAACTACCCACACGTGCACAATTCACGCGAACATGATCCACTCGGTGCTTTCGAATTCCGAATCGCGCCCTACGGTAATACCTCAGGGGCACTGCTATGACTTTAGTGCACATATTTCTAGGGAACCTGACACAGCCGTATCCCGATGCTCATTGTCAGCGATTTTACTGAGCACCGATGCTTTATCATGACAGTATGTTTTCTCTCTTACTTACCGCTTGTTGTTAATTGAATTCCTTTCAGTGAAAATGTAGTTGAGAGATAGGATGAGGGAAGCCGCCGTTGTTCTCCAGCATCGAGCGCCGGAGCGCGGAAGGTTGGGTAGCTGACGTGGCCCATATGCGAGCCCATAGTGCTGGGGAACGTTTCTTATTAGTCAGAAGAATATGATTTTTCGCCTACGTCTCAAAAGGGAGAGACCATCCACCGGTGTGGGCGAGTCCAATAAACGCTTAAATCATCCCCATCCCAGCTTTTTCCACCCACTTCGGTGCTTCATCCTTTCTAAGGCTCAGGTAAAAACTCAGCAGAGAATGTCTCCAAGCATAAGTGTGGTCGGTTGACCCTACTTCTTTGTGCTGTATTCTTGTTGAAGAACAGCGATAGTCCCTCCTCGAACAACTGCATTTTTGCCTTCTTTTCTTCCTACCAAAATCAACACTGACCGAAAAGAGAAAAGGAAAAGAAGCATACAGTCGACAAAAACATCTCGGCCCATCGGTGGTCGAGGAAGTGCTAGAGCTCTGGACATGATGGAAGACTAAGACCACCCGGGTTGCTGTGCGCGCTGATCAAGTCTCATCATGGCGACTGCGAATGACACCTATGTGAAGAAGCGTGGCCTCCAACTATCTTAATCTAACCTCGTTCAAAGTTCACATTCACTTGATAAATTGGGATCATTTAGTAAATCAAAGGGTCTCTCGGTACGAAGCCCCCTTCATCTGTTTGAATTATGATGAACTGAAATTTGAGAAAACCCGATAGTAGTGCTTGATTTGTTCTTGATACATCGAGCCCCTGTTGGAACGAGCTATTTCATAAGCTATGTAACAATTGCAGAGCTATGGGCGTCCCACCGTTTGCATTCAAGTCAAGTCGGTGTTTGGCGAAAACATGCTGAAAGAGGCAGTCGTGTGTGCTAAATACGAACATTACGCCCGTCACAATTTTGAAAGCTCCTGAAACCTTCCAAGTTCCACGAAAAACACGGGAAATGCTCCCGGCAAGTGGGTAGGCCCAGTTTTTGAATTCCCTTTGACAACTGGCTGAGAATTTGTGGTTATAAGATTACTAATTTCACTTTTATCATAAAAATAGGCGGAGTTTTAGATTATTCCTGAACATAATGAATCCTTAATAGATGACTAAAAGCTCGAATGCCATCTATTCACCTTAATCACTCAGATAAATGGTGTTGCTCCGATGACTGACTCTCGTAAACAGTGACTTCTCACCTTAACTCCCTGTAACGCAATCTGCCAAGTCCATAAAACTTCCTATATGGGAAGCATCAAACACTACCTATATGCTCAACACAAGAACAACGACCTGATCATCGCTTCTTGTTACAAGCCTTGTCGTATGCCAAGGCAAAGGAGGAGGTGTAGTGGCAAGTAGTGCACTATCACAAACGGATGGGTACAGTCTGGAATCCGTATCAATGCCCGCCTAGGTCAACCAAACATGCACCACTCCGTGGTCCGTTAATTGGCACCAGATTCGTCTGGGGGGATAAAAGCACTGATTTGTGAATTGGCTAGCCTTCGCAGGTCATTATGTAAGCCACATACGCATTCATTACCTCACTACGATTTCGAGTGGAAGTCGAATGTTAACGTTCATCCCTCAGGAGGGATCGATTAACAAAAGAAACTTAGGACATTCGTATGCCGAAAAATCATCAAAATTCCTCAAAGATCTCATGGGTTAGCTTGTGGTGAGAATTTGAAGGTTCTGAGAGATACTTCCACGAAGAACCAACAGAAACAGGCGATAATCGTTCAGAGTAATAAAAAAGTAGTTGCAAATTATAAAGAGGTTGTTGCTATCAGATCTTTGCAAATTCCCAACGATTAATTGAAGAACTCACCTGTTGTGACTTTTGTAGACAATACAAATACTCGAGAAAAAAGTTGAGCAGAAAACTTTTTCCTTTCCGGAATGCTCCTGCGACACTGATGATGACAACCTGAAAACAATGTTTTTATCATGATAAAGATCCACCCCTTCTGGAGATTTTTCTCACTAGAATTCCCCCACTACCTAAGTCCCAGCCAATTCGATGGCGTTCGTCCATGAATTTTCTGCATTCCATCGGTCAGATCCAGATTTTTCTGCGGGAAAATCGAAATCTCTTAAGGCTAAGCTGCAACAAGTTCTTATCGATAGGGATGCCTAGCTCTGTCATTGAAGCAATTCCCTTGTAAAATGATTTAGGATAAGTAATTTCTTATGCATCATACTTTAGGTCACCTTTGATCCTCTGAAGTTCAGTCGCGATATCACGGAGAAACCTTTCTGTTTCCCACGGAATGTGGGAACTTCGAGTCTGGGAGTTGCCCAAGTGTTTTCAGAGTAACTTGGATCGGGCTCTATTGAGTAATCTTCTTGAGTGTACTATTTGAGTTGTTCCCAGTCAGTGTTACGCACTGCGAATAGCCTACCACATCCCCATGGTTGTCCGTCAGCCGAGCTGACGCGAACAACAGCGGTGAAGGAGGGGGTGACGATTGCGATTTTCGGATCTCGATCCGATGTAGGGAAAAAAGTGCTTGATAGGCGGGGCAGGTGGATGACAACTATAAAAGCCAAGAAAACGATTGTAAGAGTCGGTCAAGCATGGATATCGACTCGAAGATCAAGGCCTATCGCTTCGTCGGCTATGCAGCCGTCACATTTTCGGCCGTCGCCGTCCTGTCCGTGTGTATCACCCTTCCAATGGTCTATAACTATGTCCATCACGTCCGTTCGCAACTGCATTCCGAACTGACCATGTGTAAGGTACGGTGATAACCAATGATTGTAACTGCAATCATTTTCTAAACATGTTTCATTCAGGGCTCAGCGAAGGATGTGTGGTCTAGCGTGTACTCCATCAAGGATTTGCCCGTAGCTGCGAACAGAACGACTAGGAGTAGCTACAGCGACCAATGCAACGGTTGCTGTCTTCCAGGGCCGATGGGACCAGTTGGATCACCCGGAAAGCCGGGAAAACCAGGAAAGCCCGGAGCTCCGGGTATGCCAGGAAATCCCGGCCGACCACCACAGGCACCGTGCGAGCCTGTGACGCCGCCACCCTGCCCAGAGTGCCCACAAGGCCCTCAGGGACCTCCTGGACCTCCCGGACCTCCTGGAGACAATGGAACACCTGGCGAACCTGGACCAAAGGGACAAGACGCGCCACCTGGCGAGCCTGGGCCAAAGGGACCACCAGGACCTCCTGGACCTCCCGGAAACCCTGGAGCACCTGGAGAGCCTGGTCAGTTGATACAGACATTTGTCAATTTTTTCCATACTTTTTTATGTGAGGAAGCTACTAACTGTAACGTACTCACCACTATTAGATGCCGAAATTTAATGAGTTTTTTCAGGAGAGCCTGCCAAGTCAGAGCCTGTTGTACCTGGACCACCCGGAACTCCCGGAAGCCCAGGACCACAAGGACCACCCGGACCTCCAGGAAGTAATGGAATTGACGGCGCTCCAGGAGAGCCTGGACCGAAAGGACCCGATGGAGAACCTGGAGCACCTGGACAAGATGGAGAACCTGGACAACCTGGTCATCCTGGTCAGGACGGACAACCTGGAGAGAAGGGCATCTGCCCCAAGTATTGTGCGATCGACGGTGGAGTCTTCTTCGAGGATGGCACCCGCCGTTAGGTGGATGTTGTACATCACAGCATTATTTATTAAAGCCTTCAAAGCAAATCCTATTAAAAATTGACAACACTCTGGTTGATGCATTTAAATTGAGCATTTTTCGTGAGAAATAGATTCGTGTCACGTAGCAGCCATGCCATGCCAAGGAGCGCTTGATGAAAGGAGTCGTTTGATTGATGAATAGATTGAAAATTGGGTTTTCTTCGTAGTAAATTTGGTTTTTGTCAAGTGATTGAGCAGGTGAGAACGGCGGTTTTGCCAATTCCTTTCATCATCGCAGGCCTCGAAGAGGTAAACAGGCGCGAGCTACTTGCGTGTCACAAAAGGTTCTGTACGGCATCTTTTAGTGGTTCGAAAAATTCTTCGACAATTCCTTTCCAGCAATTGTCCCATCCTTTGTTGTCGAATAGCACTAGGGCGGAAATATGGAAACTAGCACATCAGAAGAAAAAACCCGAAAATCGAAAATCCATTTGTGGAACCGATCGGGAACTGAAACGCCCTGGTTCGCCTCGCACACTAACCAAGAAAAATTGACGTAGATCTGAAATTTATCAAAGACTAGTTGCTTTGTGAAACACCTTAGGGTAAAACTCGTACCATGGGAGTTGGTCCAACCTCACAAATGAGAGGAGAATGAATAATTATAATTAGATTAATTAGGTGACAGACAAAGCGTTGGCAGAGAGGACGACTTTGGATTGGTTCGTTCATGGGATAATCAGGGGATCAGCGAGGCATTTGAAGGTCAACAAAAAGTATTTGGCTAGGATTTATCTTATGCTTACTTAATGGTAATTGAAGGCCTGAGGGCACTTGCTGGGAATTCTTTGAAAGCCTGACTGGCAAGCCCATAGAATTAATTTTGTCTGAGATCCGTACGAACAGAACGACAAAAACCGATTACTCTCCGATTCCATAGAACTCTTGGATTCGGGAAAATTTCATCGTTTCCCAAATTCCGGGCCTTCTGACTCTCTACGAACAGATCTGCTACCAGGAAGTGACTAGAAAACACTCAGTATACAAATTTCATTAGCATTCTCACTGAGTGACCATTAGACATGGGCAAGGGCATAGTGCAAGTCGTAAGAGACGATGTGTCCGGAACTTTTCGTACAATTAATCAATAAAAGATGATCTAGTTGAAGAAAAAAGGTAAATAAGCAAGTAAACAAGTGGTAAACATTCGTTTGCAAAAGAGTGTTTTTGAAACCAAGTCGTGAGAATGCGGAGAACCGATCATTGGCTGTCAACAAACTCTTCAAGCAACCTTTGACGCCCAACAACGAAAGGAATTCAGTTTTGGAAAGCCAGTAATTCAGTTTTCTGACAACGCCATCACCTCAGTTTTCAAACTTATGGATGGCTGTGCCACTAGCACCGTCACCTTCATCTCAGAATAAGCAGAGACTCTCGAATTCACTGGGAGATTCTCGTGGGACGTATTTTCCTAAGTTTTGTGCCAACCAAAAGTACAAGACCGAATCTATTGTCCAAAGTACAACTATAAAACCTCTTCATTTGCCTTTTTCTGTCGTGCTGGAAACTGTGAAGTTCCGCTTTGCAAAGGACACTTCATTAGAAGGTCTTTTAAGAGACAGGATGTTTTCATATACACTTGATGAAGAAGAATTCGAGAGCATTTTCCTCAACCATTTCTCTCAAACCAGTCTTGGAAAACAGCGTAACAACCCTACTTTATATTCTTAAAGATCTTGTAAGAAAAGCTCTCGTAGAAGCAGCCTATGGCCACATCGCTTTCTCTGATTGAGCGACGATACTAGGTTGTCTCAAAGGGCTATTACCAGAATGGACAATAGGAAATATGTGATAGCATGGCGGTTCGAAAGTGTCGCCTTCCTCCATACGGAAGCCTTTCAGAAGTTATTAAACTGGAAAGCTATCATGTACGTGTAGTGGAAAGATTGGAACTACAGGAAACTCCCATTCGAGGTTTGCCCTAAGCAGGGGTACGGAAATTGAGCACTCCGTATATTTTTGTGAATCGTGGTTGCAGCAATCCGATGACTGTCGACATTTTCCTTACGATTGTTAAGAGCTGTGAAAGCTATCCAACTACTTCAAAGTGGAATCATAGGGGATGGAGTTCGAAATTCATCGAATCATCCACTAGCTGAGAACAATTGGTCAGTTGCAGTTGGACGGGCAGGCTGAGGCTTTTGGTTGAGTTTCCACGAGCTTTGCTCTGTACTTGTTGTAGGAGTCACATGACTAGATTAGTTGATAGGTAAATATCTGAGGAACAGAGCGTAGGTCAATTTTAAGAAAAATATCAACTCTCCACGAAAGGGAAAATTGATGGCTACCCGATTACTTACCCGCAACTTTCATTGCAAATTCATATTGCAAGGGTACAATCGCTGTGTCACTCGCTGGTCTCCCTTTCCAGGTTCTCGATGCTTTCAATTTCTGGGAGACACTGGCGAGTATATGAGAGGTGGTCAGAAAATAATGAAATCATTAATGAAAAATGTCCTTTTCTCCCCCTTGGTAGCTTTTGATTGACTTCCATTTCAACGACCTTTGCCTACGCGTACAAAGCAAGCCTATTAATGAGTTATATTTTGAGAATGTTCGTTTTTCATGAAGAAAGAAAGGTCATAACAAACTCTTTGGGGTGCGGTTCCACCAACATCTGCACAATGAAAAGAAATGCCCATATGGAAAGAATTCCTTCGTTCTTTTTACAAATCACATCAATGCGGTGAGTCGTATGATTTAACTTAACCCACCTTTTTATTGACGATAGCCGAATGAGCAAGCACAGAGCTTAATCCGCCTTCATTCAACCGAAAACCGTTGCTTGGCGAGGGTGCAAGGATCTGAAGAAGGCAGAGAGTAGCAAAGAGTATTATGTGATCAGCGCTGAATTAGACTCCAGCTAGGAATGTACTTGGAGTCTGATGACTTAGTGAGGAGCACTACAAATGGGCCATTCTGAGTTTGGTTTCAGTTTTGGAGCGAAATGGTGATATAAATTGGGATCTATGATAGGTACTGGAGTAGAGCTGTGATATACTTCCTCTAGGGACCCTTTCCATGGTGTGGAGGGTGGCAGTTTGTGGAAAAGTTACGCCACAACTCGCCCAGCCCTTATTTGAGCTCCTTCGCCACATGCTGGATGATGCCCAAGCCGGCCACTTTTTAGTGGTCCCCAGAAAAGCTCTCGGTAACCTACTGAAAAATTGGGAGTGCCTTGAGTAGTCTGGAGGAGATAAGGGAAACAGTGTGCCCATTTGGACCTGAGGCGTCTCTGTGACGGGGAAAACATGGGACTTTTCGAAGATCTAAAAGACACGTCCAACAGAAAACCCATTAGCCGGTGAATTTCCAGTGCCGCCGAGTAATGGAAACTCCACGAGTTCGCCGGACTATTAGAATGTTTGCTAAGAATATACAAGGGGAGCCACCCAAAAGCTTCCCATAACCGCTACCGGGTGGAGGTACCTAATTCAAGACAACAGCAAGTAGTAGACGACTTAGCAACTCCTCTAGTAAAAATGTATAGCCAAGTGCAAAATAATTCCATTGGGAACGAAATTACGTGAACATGGCAATAAGGTTACTCTTTTTAAGCCAAAAGTTACTATAGGGCAATTCGACGAACCTGAACTGGTCGGATCTTATGACGATGTTCGGATTGATCCTTTGTGCTGAATTCGGGTAAAAATGGAGCGGTAAGGTCGAACTCGAACGACATAAATTCTGTAAAAATTAGTTGTCAATTACAAGAGATGAAAAAGAACTGAAAGAACCAAGGACGAACACGCGGACGTGGATGTTCTGAATTCTTGGCAGAGTAGTAGAGGGAAAGGTTCGTATAGTCAGACAAATTGACAATATGTCAAGCGCAGGCATTTCCCACGATTCAATTACACAAAATAAACTAAAGGTCGAAGAAATTGATGGAAAAGAAGAGCAAATAGGTTAGAGGAGGATATGGTGTTTGACCGAAGAATGGACTTTCGTGAGCGACAACAAGGGAGCAAACAGACCATCCGATTATCGTCCTGGCTAATGTGAGGCAGGCTGAAGAGGTCGGGACGATAGCCCATTCC